TGCTGTTAGACATCGATTAACTCCAAAAAAGTAAAATAATCTTATTTATGTATGTAGAAATATAAAGGTAAGAAGAAAACAAAAATTAAGTTCACGGACGGCGCTTAATCAGCAGTCTTCTTTATCTATGCCAGTTTGTATACTACTGGTTATTATATTCTCACACTCAATAGATAAAATAAAAAAAATTCACTTTTTCCTACTAACTAAACCCATTTATATGAACAGGCTCTTTGTGGATTCTTATAACAAAAGTTGTTGCATGTTAAATGTCAACATTCTCACTCATAATGAATAAACGTTAGATATTAATTTTTAAATGATCTTTAAATTATTTCTTCAATGTTACTATTTTTTGTATAAAAGATATAATTAATAATTCCTACGATCAGGATCTTAGGAATTATATCTTGTAGTTAGTAGACTTCAACGTGGCTTGAAGTGAGCCTACCGCCATTACTTTGATTAATTTACTTTATTTTTGTTGTTTTCCATAACCGAAAATTTTGTTGGAGATTAAATTTAGCTGACATTATCACTATCAGTTGACACCAAAAAATGTGTCTAAATAGTTTCAAATACATCACCTTTGCGGTCAGTTAGATTAATAAACCTCTGGGCTACGACGCTCTCATTTACTCGATATTTTTAAAATAGAATTTAAAAAAACCAGTATTTGAAAATAGAAACAGAATAGATAACTAATTTTAGTGGGAATGTAGAGTTTAAAAATATAATCATATCTTATTAAGCTTTTTAACTAACACTGTCCTGAAGTTGATTAATATTAAACGTGATCTAAATAATATATTACTCATACTTAATTTAGATATGTATACGCATTAATATAGGAGATTAAGAAGATGATTACACCGCTATATATACCTACCATATAAGGCAACTACGATACTCAGATAACAAATATATCTAAACAAACATACCAAAATACTCCGTCGCATTTCCTTCCCTTAAGCAACTTCTAGAAAATCTAAATAATTGTAAGAAGATATTTTTAAAGGATTTGCCATCGTGCCTCTCTCTTAAATTAATTACTTTAATCTTTTAATTCAATTACAGTTTATAAGATTGTACGTAAGTACCACAATCTACTGTAAGTTATGTTAATTGAACATTTTCACTTGAATAAGAAAGAAGAAAAATATTTATTCGCTGTAGGTACGCAAGACGCAGACGTAGTAGTTTTTCCATACAATGAAAAAAAACTGCTAGCTTATTATTATGAATAAATATAAATTTATAGTAATATAAACCCATATAAGTAAGAGCCAATAGACCGAAAAAACTTAGGCTACGGCATATAGGCCTATATTCATTAAAAGCCAAATTACATTTATTGTTTATTATACTATAAAAATATATTCAATTCACAAGCTTAATCTTATGGCGTTCTTTTCAACAAATTCAAACTATTGATAGCATAATATTTATCAAACGACATGTCGTTTCACAAAGTTACAATAATATTGGCACCCTCATATTTCAATATAATTCGGGGGCCCAGCACCTCACGTCACGTGTGAAAGCTTAAAACGCGTAACATCGCTACTGTAAACAGATTGGAGACAGCGCCGTGTACAGCTTCCCCGCATTTGCTTGCAGACAAGTTTGCTGAATGCTTTCCCATGTAGCTATTATCACATCAACCTACTTAGGAGCAAAATGGTTTGAATATGTAATCTATATAGTTATACATACGTATATATATTGGAGTTTACATGTCAATGATATATTTATTTATCAGTAAATTGCATTGGCCGCGAACTGATCCGAGTTATCAAGAAAAATAATTGCCTCTGTCTCTCTCCATGTTAAATACTACAAATGTTTAAATTTCAAAATTATTAATTGAGCTATTATAACACTACAAATAAAAAACAAACTCATTTTCATATTTTAATATTAATAGGAAAGATTTCTTTACACTGTAATATATGTAAGGATTATAAAGATGAATATATTTCAAAAATAAATTCCACATATTACGTAGATAATGAAGACTATTTATTTCAGTAATCCTTCCCCAGAGTTTATAAAATAAACAATAACAATGTGTAATTCAGAACGATGCCTTAAAATCTCTTTTTGCTTAAATAATTAAAAGTAACTTAAATCATATCACTTAGTATACAAAATTTAAGCTACTGTATTTTAATTCTAACATTCTCGTATATCAAATAATTCATTGACATCAGTAAATTGACTAAATTAAAACCAATCAATGCTAACTCTCATTTGTATATATCTATTTATAGGTAGCTCTTAGTTCCTTCATACGATATTCAGCCGACATAATTACTGGCACTTGTTTGCGTCAATCAAAACCATTCCGCCGTCGCAGGATACTAATGGGCTTCGATGTCAGACTGACGGCACTGTCGCCTACAAATTATACTTATTGCGTCAGATATATCACGTTAACACACTCAATATTATTAAGATGTATTAAAGCATACATACTAATCTATATCAGTACTTGTCAAGCTACACGTATATAAATAATGTAAATAAACAATCGAATTTTCATTAAATATTTATAATGTATCAGACGTGACGGCTTAGTACTCGGTTGTTTATGCCTTCTCTACAAGGTACTTGTTGAGAATAGATAAAATTATATTATCTGTGTAACATTATTTAGATGCGTACCTAATTAACTATTCGATTATTTTTATTATCATCTTGTACATACAAATATAAAGAAACGAGTTTTTAATCGAGTCAAAACTAAAAACTTGAATCGCACTTAAAATATATTACAATGATTCTGTGTTTTAATCTCCAACATGATCTCATCATCTTCATCATCATCTCAGCCATTATCCGTCCACAGCTGCACAAAGATCTTCCCCATAAATCATTGGGTTTTGCCAGTAATTACCATGCTTGGCAGGCGGGTTGGCAACCGCAGTCAAGCTTTTGATAATGTCTTAAGATGGATGCTGCTGCCCATCCCTCAACAATAAGTTCCCTTAATCGCCTCTTACGACACCCACGGAAAAAGAAGTGGCCCATTCTATGTCGATATCTACACGGCACGATATGATCTTAATATTATAAATGTAATAGTTTCTAAATATATTGTATGTTTGATGAGTTAACGAAATGGATTTCAATGAAATTTAGTACACAGACTGATCATTTTTACCCTTAACACGACACTGGGTACCTCTGTCCCATTCGTGTTTCAACCGTGAAGCAGTTGTGTTTGCATAGCTGTGTTTCGGTTTGAAGGGTGGGATATGGCGTGAATTTACTGGGTACAGAGGAATAACATCTGAGTCCTTAGGAATGGCAACGCAGGGGGGGTATCATGAGCTAAACAGTATACTCTGTTATGTTCATGGTACTGCCCATGTCTATAGGCGACGGTTACCACTTTCCATCAGGTGGGCCGTCAGCTTGTTTGCCATTCTAAGTTGTATAAAAAAAAAAAACTTTTTATCCGAATTTCCGCGATCAAAGCTGTGATATATATATATATATATATATATATATATATATATATATATATATATATATATATAATTAGTAGAACATAAGTAGTAACGTAATAGAATAGTAGGATGCCAATCGTCAAGGAACCGAGAACAAACAGAAATATATGTACCACATGTTTATTCACAGTCGCACACAATAACAATATTACCATTAATTTCGTACCGGCTTAATATAATTACTGATTTATAACTCAGCAACTATAGCATAACGAACAATAATACGGCCTGTGCCATTTCGTCTAGGGTGAACGCAACACGTCGCGTTACTATTGTACGTAACCCGGTTAGGTAATTTCAGTACATGCTTCTAATCCAATTAGCTATTAAGATTCGTGGCCCGAATATTAATTCGCTCCCGATTCGGCTTTGTAAGGAGGCTGGAGGTCGCCCGACTATAGCGAAACTGTAGCCTTATGTGGAACGAACAACGTACCGCTCGTAGCTCGAGCCGTGCTCACGTGTCTAATACCAAATGGGTGATATTGATTATTTGCAGCCTTAGAATGTAATAACAATATTTTCAAAAATATGCTCCCTTACATTTTTATGTATTGATGCATTAAAAAATTCTGAAACAGTGATAGCTTCGTTTTAAGTTTTAAACCAATTAAGCCCTTGAATGAAAGGAAAAAAATATATATGGAGAATTATATATGCACATTATTTTTATTCATACAATGTAATAAACTAATAATATGTATATGATACAAATTAAGTTGCTAAACATAGAAATGTTGGCATAATTATAATTATACCGTAACCACTATAAAAAAGTAAAACCTAACAATAGATAAAAAAATTATTATAAAATATATTTGAATTAAAAATATATATCTAGAAAAACTACAACAAATGATATATACGTCAATAATATATATAATAATTATTAAAATCAGAACAATTTCTGTTTTCGTGACTTTCTTTGCGACCGACAAAATTAATTGGCTCCATCAAAATGACGTACCCTTATAATTTATCACATAGTTAAACAAGCAGTTAGAAACGAATGCCGTTCAGTTAAATTCGTGATTTCTCGCTTTGGTCTTTACACCGGCGGTGAGCTTGACACGAATACTATGTCAACCTGTTACAGAGTAGACACAATTAATAGAGACTACAGAAACTAATATTTTAAGTATATTTAATCACAATCGCATAAAAAAAATAAAATTTTAAAACTAAAAAAAAAAACATACAGTACCCATATGAAAGAATAGGAGAAAACTTACAATATTCTGTCACATTTTCCTTTACAAGTTCTAAAAAACTATATAATTATTAAATAAATTTATAAATTATTTTATGCATAAAAATCAGAATCATTGATATTAAATTAAATATAAATATATATAGTTCACGACTATAATCCCAAATGGGGGAGTCAGATGCAATAGTCGACTGTTGCTATTATGATGTTGTAGGCGTATTTAATATAGATGATGATTATCAATAAAAATCTTACATTAATCTTAATTGTTACAGATGATGGGAAGATTCACAAGATCGTTCAATGGATACGAAATGGTGACAGTCAGTCAACTCTGCTCGATATTTTCGATGTAACACCTGGTGAACCTATTCAGGTAATTATAAGATTATAAGTAATTTAATAACACACAGGTTCAATTTCTATACGTATATCAAAGCCAAACTCTTATATTTGTTTTTTACTTTACATTTCTTATTATAACAAGATAGTATCATGGCTCTTCAGTTTACAAAATTATAACATAACGAAATTATTGATTATCCAATGTTGGTATTTTTCGAATTTTTATTTAGCGAATTTTATCAGGCTAAAATCAATATATAATAAACTTAATAAAATCTATTAATTTATCGCAACTATCTATCTATCTATCCCATTGAAGAGCAGCGCTCTTGTCGTTGGAGCTCTTGCCACTCACTACGATTTTCAGCGTGTCTCTATATGAAAATATTTTTTTTTTATTTCATTTTGCCACACTTTGCCTTCAATTGGTCTTGTCACTGTTGATTTTATAATCATACGTCAAATCAAAAATAACAATTTACCACCTACCTACCTATACCACAAATACCTATAACACAAATACCTATAACACAAATTTTAATAAAATAAATAATTTAGTTAGTAAAATAATAATACATCTAGAATATGTATTTGTAATATTATTGATTTTTACAAATGAGCTGCACGTCTAACATGCTCATACAAAAACAAGATTATAGAATACAAGACGACCGTAAACTATCAAGAACTTGAGAAAATTAGTTATAACATTACGCTTATGTATACTTTTTTCTCCACAAGGCAATGGCCATCTCCCGCGCCCACGGCTCCCTCTACGCGGCATCAGACAAACGCGTGCTACAGCTACGGTTGGCTCTGTGTGCACGGCGCTACGACGCGTGCGTGCGGTGCGCGCGAGATCCGTATTGTGGCTGGGATCGAGATGCAGGCGTCTGTCGAGAATACGCGCCTGGGTAAAATAAAAAATATGTTAATTAATTTAAAAATAAAAAGTATTAATTTATTCATTTACAAATTAATAATATACAATATTCCTTTTTTTATTCCTACAATGTCTTATAAATTTCAATGAAAATCACATTAAAATTGAAGAAATTGCTACTATTTTTTTATATGTTCTGTGATATTTTCACCAATTGTAAACTGATCGTTTATTTAATCCAAATGTTTACTTCTATATGACTATATATTAATTTTGTGAAAATTTAAGTAGACTTTAAAAACTTTAATCACTTTAAATTAACCTAGAATCCACAGTAAAGATTCCATTTGACGTCTTTCCGAATCTCGTATGTCCGATCTACGCAGTATCATACCTATTATTGTCAATTGCAAATTTTGTTCTTTTTGTAGTTTATACATCTAGAAATAACAAGCTGACAATAACACCAAGTAGGAAATGATAACTTGGTAATAACCATCGCCTATAGACAGATGGCACCAATAAGATATATCCCGTAATTTAAGTGCCATACCTCATCATTAAAACCGTAACACGACTAGGCAAGCATTTAGCCGCAGAAACACGAACAACGCAGTTCACTGACAGATCTATGCAGATGACTTTGTACAAAGTTTCTCTCTAATTAATTGTGTTTATACTTTAACAACCACATTTGCTACAGCGAGCTGTCATTGTATATTATTATGATCTTTCCATATTAGTTACGTTCACCAAATTATTTAACCGAATATCTAATTATATTCCAAATAAACTCAGCACGTAGATTTGTATCCAAAAGCCTATATTTATTTCATATAAAAATAGAAATGCTTAGAGTTCAAATAACTAACGGTTTTCAACAAATTATATTCAAAGTAAGCTTCAAGGTTTTTTCATAATATGTATCAAACTCATGTAAGCCTAAAACCTAATCTACTACATGCGTGAAACAATGAAATACAATTAATCAACCAACATTTACCAACTCGCTATTTGATTTATTAACCCCATATTACGGATACCGAGATTAATAAATCTTTGTTTCTTCCTTTTTCTTTTTATAAATTATTAATTTCTATTTATTTCTCTTAGATTAATCCAAGACGTGGTGAATGAGACAGCTGATATTTGTGATTCGTCGATCACCCGCAAAAGCGTCTCTGCTACTTGGGGCCAAAGTCTACATTTGGGTAGTTTTGTAAAAATGCCAGAAGTGTTACATCCAAGAGCTGTCATCTGGTATCACTACTCAAGAGACAAAGGAAAACATGTCATTACATTTAAGTAAGTTTATTACATGGATAATACAATGATTGTTGTACCCTTTCCATTCTTTTAATTTACTTCTACGAGCTACTTTAGAACATAAATGTTACAGGTCCCGTGAAAATCAAATTAAAAATACGTAATTACAAACTGCATATTGCTGTATTCCTATTTAATTATTATATTGCCTTTTGAGATATATATCATTCATACATTGTGGTATCTACTGTTAAGAATAGGACTCTCTTAATTGCTTTAACATTTCACGGTCATCGACCAAAACGTATCAGTTATTCTAATTAAAAAAATATCATAATACTATAAATGTACCGTTTAAAAATACTAACAAACTAAACTATAAAATGATAATGGAAAAGTTTTAATGTATATATATTTGCGAAATAATAAGACGTCGTCTAATATTTATCAACTTCAAAGACACCTAAGTGAATTAACTGGAAACTCAATAAACCTTTCACACTCTAATTGTAATTAGATATTAATTAATAATTTTCAAGAAGAACCGAAGCGTGTAAACAAACTCGATCAATGTATGCCGAGGAGGATGCGCAACGTTTAAAATGACTTTAAAATTATTTAGAAAACACTTGAACTGAACACGCATGCAACAACATTAATTAAATGGTTTCCAAATCTGCTTTTATCGCACTTCCGCCTGTATAATTAGAATGCAAGGGGAAACTGGGAATTACGGTTTTGTTTATGGAGTTTCATTCAAATAATTCTATGGGTTTAAGTGATTGCGTACATTGCATATTTTTTATTATAATTAATAACTCTTTTTATATTTTTTACGTGTAAATTTTCTTAAACTTGGCTCCTTTGCTTTTAAACGATTTCAAAAAGAATAGGCTTGTAAAACCGCGTGTATTTCATGTATATATCTGTGTCTTATACTTTATTTTCTATGTAAAATTACTAGTTTACTGACTTGACTTGCAAGTAAAAAAAATATTTATACACAATTGTAAGTTGTAAGGATGTAGTATACCTAAATTATTCTCGAAAATAGAATAGATAAATTGTCTGTATATGTGTTACTTATAATTGACATTATCACGTTATTTGCAGTAAACCAGAGAAATACATTGAGACGTCAGAACATGGCCTTCTAATAATATCAGTGAATGAAGGGGACGCAGGCAGATATGATTGCTTCTTAGGGGGATCTCTGCTCTGTTCCTATAATATCACAGTTGATATTCACAGGTAACATTATAATGTATCTATAACATACAGAACGCGTCAAAGCGACATCACTTAAGAATATCTACTAATGAATATTTCATTTAATTTTCAGATGTTCTCCTCCAGAAAAGAGCAATGAATACCAGAAAATATATTCGAATTGGTGTCATGAATTTGAAAAATATAAAAACGCAATGAAAACTTGGGAACGGAAACAAGAGGTAAAATTTATGCTCTTAAGTTTTTAAGCTACTTTTATTACCAGGATAGGTTGAGAACCTTAAAAGTACTAATTAGTTTGTATTTTTGTGGATATTTTACACGTTTACGTCGCTAATTGTAAAGTGATTTTAATATTTCTATTTACAATCGATAGCGTTTACTTCTGACTTGGTCCCATATGTATGGGATTTATTACGACAACTAAACTAACGATGTTTTTTTCTTTCATGTTTAATTCTGCGAATTTGACTCACTAATCTATATTTGTAAAACATGCCGTGGTAATCCGTTTATGGACTCTCGCGATACAGGTTCGCCTAGTGCGGGGTCCAATGTAATTCTCTTTTTTTAATAAATGATAATAATTATAAAATTTCCACTTTTTTATTACCATTAGTGTCGCTATTTTTGCAAAGCAAAATGTACTAGTGTCCTTTTTATAGTGTCAAATAATTAACTGTACTGTATTATTTTTTACAGCAATGTGCGAGACAGAACGACTCGAATCAGAACACGCATCCGAACGAAATAGTGTGATAGCTTCTAAACATCGCCTACCTCATGTTTCAGTCGGTTAACTATTATGCTGGTGCCATACCGGTACCTTACGTGTCGGCCGGTCTCAAGTATTTCAACATATTCTCATAAGAAATTCCGTCAGCAAGCATCCGCTCTGAAATGCAAGTGATCTAGCGACTTCAACGACTAACGAACAAAGTGTGTTGGGCTCAACTCTGTACACCAATGCAAATGTGAATCCCCTTAGATTTATAAAGACATAAAGGAAAGTGTAGTGAAAATAAACTGTGTATCGTTCCGACCACAACGGGAACATGAGATGGTGATTATTAGACACTAAAAATTTTTATGGACATTTTATTAAAATATAAAAAAATAAAATACGAGCGTTGTGCGTTGCTTTGTTGGATATGGAATGTAAAAAGATTTTAGAAAAAGTGATTCTCGAATTGTAAGTACGCTTTGTTTGTTGGTTAAGGTATAGAAAAATTGTTAGGATTATTGAATGGGATTTTTGATAACGAAATGATAGCAAAGTTTCATTGGTACATTGCATTTATTGTAGCGTTTATTTGTACCCGTAATTGAATACTGAGATTCATTATTTATTATTGTTTTACACAATATTTGTATTTTTATGCTAGTATGCCCAATTCAAAGACTATTTTTATTCCATTATGTCATTCGATATTTTCTTTCTTTCTGTAACCAATAGGTATAACATAATATTTATTTGTTATTATGATAATTATTAAAATCATTTGTACTGTACTCGGATACTAATGAATCGAGTACGATGATACGTACTGCCGTGTAGCCGTACCGCGGCGTAATTTGAAATCTCCGAGGGTTGTGGGAGGGTTTGCCTCATTATTTTTCCCCTATTTGTGTAAATAGTTACCTAATTTTGTTCAACTGTACCTACTAATGTAAGTGTACGTATAGGATGCACGTCCCTAATAGTAATGAATATAATTTAAGCCTGTGATATATAAGAAACTCGTTAGGAAATATACTTACTTTTTGGAAATATAATGAAACAAAATTATAGGTTATTACGTTTTTTTTTTTTTATATGTAGTATATAATGCACTTATTGTTTAATGATACGATTGTTCTAAATAAGCCAGAAGTTATAGCAAAATTACCAAATAGTTACGACACAACAATGCTTCTGATTTTTATAATCTAGTTGCAGCCATTATCAATAAACAAATGTAAAAATATATATATAATTTTTTCTCGATCTATTCTACTTCACGCCAAGTTATTTGTAGGTGTAAAAGAAACCAAGTACCAAAGGCCTCTGTCCTTACAATATCTCAAGCTTCATCTATTTCTATATAACTTAAAATTGATTGTTAAAATCTGATTGTTAAAAAATAAATTGTAATAAAACCCACATGCCTAATTTGCATTCAATCTCCAATTATTCTACTGTATTTATATAATATGAGGGGCTTAATTAATGATCGGCTCTTTATGGTATTTTGGACTTATTTCTCATTACCTCTCCGTATTTTTTTTGAGAACGAAACCGTTTTTGTATTTTGTTTCAATTCACGTATCATACTACCTATTTATTCCAATTTTAACTCGATTCCATATCATATAATTGTACCTAAGAACCTGTACATATTACATTAAAGAACATCAATTCATCATTCTATTTATACATTGTCAAACGATAAAATAAAAAATAAAGGTATTATATTAAAGTAAGTACATTATTTTTGCATAGACTTATATTGTAAACTGCAATATATTATTGCTAGCCAAATACTTTTGTTTGATGCTGGTAATACCGTATATTTATTGTTGAAAAGTATGATTAACTAGTCTTATATATTGTATTCAACTTTTTTCTTATATATTTTTGAAAATCATTTAAAAATCTTTCTCAAGTACTTAAATACGGCTGCACATTAAAAGACATGATTACAACAAGACACTTAGTACACCGTAATAATACAGTAGATGATTATAGATTTTTATTAAAATAGACATAAAGAAAATACTATTTAATACTATGCGTGACAACATTATATATAAGAGCGACACAATCACACCAAATATTGAATTTTATTTCCAGATTTCCATACTTAAAATCTTTAAAGTAATATTACTTTGAATTTATATTCATGCACTTAAAACTATTATATATGTAAAATACATCAGTATTATTTACAACTACCGCCTTATAATGAGCAGCCGACCTCATCCATACAAAAAGAAGAAACTGAATAATTAAATAAACTGTTCCAATTTTCAACAAATTCAAATGTTTTTTTGTTGTCTTTGTGTAAAAAACGCTCATACGTAGTACATAATTATATGTTAGTATAATAGGTGCTTGAACAAAGAAATTTCAGTTTATAATAATACCTATATTTTTGGACTTCGTTCATATCATTGTGTAAATATATAAATCGACATAGATATACAATCAAAAGAAATATCTGAGCTTCGACGTTTATTATAATATAATAACCTAAGATGTGTTACTTAAGTATTTTAGTAACTATTAATTTTAAGGACTTCCCTTATCTCGGGATGATCTTGCGCAATAATTATATAACTTATTACTATTATCTATACTAATCGAATAGCTCTGTAAATTTCACATGTTACTGTACTGTAATAAGTTAAATTCAGATGTAGCGTTAAGATTTTATATAATAAATCTATGAAATGTATCTTTCACTCTGTTGGTGTTTTATTTCTAACACTAGTTTGTACTCACAAATTTATTTGGTTGTACATTATTAAACTTTTTATCGCTTATATGCTGACTTATAATAGCTTATAATATACTGTTAAAATTTTATTACAGTCAATTTTAACGAATTTATAATCAAACAATAGATATTTTCAAATACTATCCTTTAGCATATATACAGTATGCCCACAAGTTACGGTCTCTACTGTTCTGACCTCATTACCATTTTATTACACATAAAAGTTTATCAAAATAATATTATTATCAACAAGAATATCTCTAGTTTTATTAAAGTACTGTTTGTCAGCATTATAGAGCGATCAAAGTGTAAGCGAGGATAAAATACTTTAAAGCAGTGTCAATTCATCAAGTCACATACCGGGTTGACGTTTTCGTCATAACAGCGGTGCGGGCGGGGCCGGGTCACCCTCCATGGGTGCCGGCCGACTACCGACAACCAAGGGCCGGGGGCCTATAAAAAGTGAGGGCCCGTAATTATATAGTGCCACTAAACTAATTTCACGATACATTGCCGACGAAATCTGTGCTTGGCACCGCCTCGCCTGCCGTCGAAATGTGATTTTTCTTTCATAACGAAACGCCTGATTACTATTGTTATGTGTTATTTTGTATGAATTGCTAATGTCACATTACTATGTTTGCCACTAAATTGAACCGGTCGTAATGAATAGCTGAAGGGTGTGTGACCTTTGGTCCGTATCAAGGTTCAAATTTCGTGATAAGTATCCAAGTACAAGGCAAGTGTTTTATAATTGTAGGTATTTGTATCGAACATGATGTTAATTATAGATCCAGCTAGAACATCCTAATTACAAGCGGTTGATATCTACGCTAATTATCAGTCAAAATCAATCTAACGTACATTGTCCTATTTATAGATTCCGACTGCTTAATTAAAGTCAACAAGATGTGTATGGCAAATCATTATAGTTTGATTATTCTAGTTCACGATAAATATATTAATTTCCTATCTTTATTCATCGATTTCCTGCAACACACTAGAATATATACAACATAAAAACGTCGGAGGGGGGATTCTTAGTATTGTAATGGGAACTACCAGTCCTATTGCTAGCAATACACCCTGTCAGATCGGCCTCCTTTTGGTCCCTTCTGGTAACCATCATGCTGAAATCCAGACGTATTCATCACGACGGGTTAACTAACCTGCCTTCTCATTCTCATCTATCGTCTCTCACTGATACCCCGCTAGCGAATACCGTGAGCGCTGGCGGGCTTACCGTTCCATTATCATCCATTAAAACAAACATCATGACGTCAGAAGGGAGAAGCTTGTTAGGAATTAGGATCTAACGGCTCCATTGCTAACGATTACCCTCGGTATACGCTGGCAGGGCACCAAAGAGAAACGATACATGAGGATGAAAGCAGGTCAGTTAGTCCATTGTGATGAAATCTGCATGAATTAACCAAGATAGCTCCAAGGGAACCCCGTGGAGGTCGACCTGACAGGGTATATTACTAACAATAGGGTTATTGGATTTCCTTTACTATCAATACCTTCTCCGCAAAAACGCAAATATAGGTTGACTATAATATGGTCTACACATTACAGTATAATGGGTCACTAAAACTATAGAAGATAATTATTAAAACATGACATTTTATATAACTTGGAATGACAAACGAGCTGACAGAAATTGGTAACCATCGCCTATAAATATAAACATCACAGAAACAGAATATTCATTGGTTTGGTACCTCTCAGGCATTACCATTCCTGAAGATTTTCTTATAAGAATGAATCAATTATAATTATTAGATTGATTGATCCTAGAAATACTATTTCGTCACGATAAAAACCAGAAAAATAACAGTTGCTACACGTACTAACAGTACTATACACTGCGCAACATAAGTTGCAATTAGTCAATCAAAACTTGTATTTACACTAGTATATTTGAAAAATCAAATCATTACAAAGCGGAACAAATAAAAAAAGTAGGGTTCATTATAACCCCACTTTTTATAAGTTTCAGAGAAGAAATGTAAAGAATTTTGTGTAAAATCACAAGTCTTGCTCACTGTTGCGTGTAATGTTTCATTTCACGGCGCAAGAGGCCGCGTGCCGTTGCGGACTTCATCTCCATTAAATAATTACGCATGCCAAAAACTAGCAAGCATTCTATTGGGGCAGAGAATTGTAGAAAATAAACGACCTCCGCAACGCAATAGACACATTACTGCGGTCCAAATACGATTCTCGATTGGGTCAATTTATAATTTTTTTTTTCTAAATAAGTAGATCTTGATCTGAATACTTTGGATTGTACCATAAACGCTAACTTGAAATCAGTCAATTAATAGCGCTTTATTTACTGCACTTATTCATAGCTTGTCCTGATGGTGATAAATCTAGATGTATACAATTTTAAAGAGGAATTCCTTATAACGTTAATCAAACAAACACTAAGGAATGTAATTTGAAAATTCATTCCTTATAATAAACGTGTCTTTTAAGATTCACAAAATGCTTGGCAAAATCCACGTTCTACATCTCTTGTGTGAACATGAAACATTTTACATGTTCACACATGTCAAATGTTATGTTCACCATAAGGATAACAGTCAACAAATGCCATTAAGATTATAAAAGTTAGTATTATTTTGCCTTAATTTCTTAAAGGATAAAAAAAAATTATGTTATTGACAATAAAAATAGAATAAGCCATGATGTCAAATTCGTTTGTATTTTTTAACAAACCCCGCCTATGAACACAAAGGCACCCTGAAGACGAGAGTGCTGTGAGGTCAGGCGCGTAATCCCTTATTACATCGACGGGATGGCCTGTGGTGTCCCACTCTCGTAAGCGCATTAGTCGAATTAACAATTAGTCATGCCTACGTCTGCCTACGAAGTTTGCACAAATTTACATAACAATAAAGCCCTTTCGTGCGGCTTCGGTTGGTTATGGCGATTTTTAAAATTAATTGGATCACGGACCGTGGAAAATTTGTGGAACCGGCGTCGCTCTAAGCAATTTTGTGGTCAGTATTTCGCACAGTGACGTATTTTTTTTTTTATTTAATTGATTAGAAATATGTAAAATGGTTGCAGTTTACTGGTTCCAGTAAAAATCATAAGGCCATGAAAATAATAAATTTAATTCTGTTATAAACTTTCATTACCAAAGACATAATTACCTACTGTAAATATCTCATATAAAAGCTAAATCAACAGATCTAATCCGCGATTATCATTCTACATAAAATATCCAAAACCTCTTTCTTATTATTCTGTTTGCAAGCTTTGGAATCGTACTGGCAATCTACTTTTTGCTTATTGAGTGCCACACTACGCTAAACAAGTGGTTTTAGTGAAAACTTAGAAATAAACACGTAAGAAAATTGAAACAGCGTCACAAAGTTCCTATCAAACATTTTTCTAGAAATTAGAATATTTTATGTTTATTCTATACATTCTTAATTAGGTATATCAGCATCATTAACATATCAGCCGTTAACTGTTCACTGTTAAACATAAGCCTTCCCCATAAGAGAAGTTTTGCTAGTAGTTGCCACGCTTGGCAGGCGCATTGGCAACCACAGTCAGGCTTTTGTGATATGTCAAAAAGGACGCTGCTGCTCATCTCTCGTCTATTAAGTTCTCTTAGTCGTCTCTTACGACACCCACGGAAAAAAGGGGTAGCCCATTCTGTACCGGGACCACACAGCAGTCACTTATAGGTATACTAGATGTAAAATAATAACTATTACAAATGTTAAAAGTTTATCTTATAATAATATCTGACAAAAGGTAATCTGGCGTATGTTATACTGTGGTGAGTGGTACA